ACTGTTCTGGAACAGTGTTGTAAATATAAATTAACCACTGATTTCTAGTCGTGTCCTCTTTTGGAAGACCAAACAAAGTAGTTTAGCTTTCACAACGAAACACAGCGTCTCAACGACATGGCGGCGGCGGTAACAATACTACAGCGAGAATAAAAGTTACGCCTTCTTTCTTTGCGTGAACAGTTAGGCGGCGTTATGCAAATCTTCCCACACAGTGACGTAGATGTGTGGGGGGCGTGTTAGAATGAGCCATTTTAGGAGGGCGTGTCACGAGTCTTAACTTTTATAAAGAATATCTCTTTGGGTTTGAGACTTTAGTCTTTGCAACTTTAGGGATCTTATCTATTCACGAACAGCTTGTAACACTCCAAAGAGAAAGGAAAACTTGAAATCGCATCATATGACCCCTTTAAATTAACCACTTCAAAATGGCAATTCATTTAAGTCCCTGCAAGTCACCTGCACAGGAGTGAAAAAGTGAAGTGACATGTGGCCAAGTATGGTGACCCATACCAATGTAGTAGTACATAATTTTACAATAATTCTTTGCTGTTTCAATAAAATAATATAGACTACAGTACAAAGTAAAATAGATCAAATAATAACATGATAAAATGAAATAATAAAAATGAAAATTAAATTAGGCATAATATAACAAAGAAAATCCCACTTAAAAACAATAGCATTCTATTGATTGTTGATTTTCAAAAAGAAAAAAGGAGGAAGGAAAGGGCGTGACATGTGGCCTAGTATGGTGTCCCTTACTTGGAATTTGTGCTCTGCATTTAACCCATCCAAGTGCACACACACACCGTGAACACACACCCGGAGCATATTTTATTTTATATTATTTTATTTCGTTTTATTTTATTATGGGGCTATACAAAATAATGTTGTAATATTTAATACAATTACTGTACAAAATAATGTAACACTGAGTTTTAAGCACTTTGAAACATCCATCAGATTTAAAAATCAGGGATTGATTAGTTACTTGGTTTATTTAAGTTTCATTGGTGGTAGTTAGTGTAAATTGATCTATTCAAATGCTGTCAACCTGTTTGAGATCCTCACTGCTTTTGTGTTAGATAAATGCTCTGATTGCTGATTTATATCATTTTATTTTATTTATTTTATTGTACAACACAAGGCAGGGAGCATCTAATAGTGCAAGACACAACCTCCAAGAAAAACATAAAATAAATGAACACAAATTATTAAAAAAACAAAGAACACAAGGAGCAAGAATTGAGACAAACAGCAGATAAAGACATTTTTTATATATATTTTATATATTTAGTTTTTATTCAATACAATTTAAATGTTTTTTTAAGTGCTTTTTTGCTTCATTATTCCATTGACAAAAGCTCTGACATCTTTTGTGTTCCACAGGAAAAAGAAAGTCATACGGATATGCGTTATAATGGTGAGTAATTTATGACAGACTTTTCATTTTTCTTTGCTATTTAACAGAATGACTGCACTCTGTGCAGAATATTATTTGCAGCATATGAGCCAAGAAGTATTAAAAATGCATGACTTTCAGCTCTTGAACCCGTATTGCAGAGTGAAGGGCTTATCAGCTCTTGACTTTAAAGCAGTTACCGTGCATCGCATTTGCCTTTCCAACAGTTTTAAAGGGACATTCTGCAGATATCATTCATTCTTCATTCAGCGGAGCCCCAGGGGTCTTCCTCGTCCTACAATGCTTTGAGAAAGTAAGGAATAATAATGAAGAGAACAGAATAAATAGTGTTGTCAAAAAAGGAAAAGGTTGTGTGTGAGCTGTTTGGGATCATTAAAATGTCAAAGAGCATGAATTCCCAGGTTTACAGAGTCTGTTCCCTGTAAGTCCAGTAATAACATTCATCCCAAGCTTCCCAGGAATACCATTGACCCTTCCTGGGAAAAACAACACTAATGTACAGGAAAAGGAACAGTGAAGTCACATAATAATCCTTAAATGGCCCTGTCCACCCATGGAGACAAATCTTTAAATCTGGTGGACGTAATAAAGACTGGCACACGTTCAAAAGGCTTTTGTGCTTTTTATGTGTCTTCCCTGGATCTTGTGACAAATCTCCTGTAGAAGATTATTCTATTATAAGAATATTTTGTTGTTTTCAACTTTAAGTCTGCTTATAGAATACATACTGTTGCTTTATGAAAGAAAATGGTAATTTTGTAAAAATGCACAAGAAAAACATTTGCAGTACATATGCTTAATGATGCTGTATTTTATATAACTTTGTTAATTGAGCAGTAAAGTGTCTAAATTATATAGTTTTGTAGTTTTATTTGTGTATTTAGTGCAAATCAATGATCAAATTGATCTGCACATTTTTATGATCCGATTTATATTACTTTTATATTTTCTCTCCTGTAAAGATGCTATTAGAGGAATATTTTATGTTCAACTTGAAGTCTATGTATAGATTGCACACTGTTGATTTCCATCAGTTATTTGGTAAAAACGAACAGGAAATGCATTAACAGTTTGCTTAGGATGGGAGCTAGCAAGCAACTGAATGGGAGGTAAAGCTTTATTTTAGTGAACTGGTATTAATTATTCACAATATAAGTTTCTTAAACTGAAAAGTGTATGAAATTGTACTTTTTTTGGTGTAGGAACAGCACAAGGAGGCCTTAATACGTGACTGGAGGTCTTCGATTACAGTCCCAGACTCATCACTAGCAACTTTTCTGAGCTGCGACGTAAGAGACAGGGAGTATATTACTGTAAATGGGTTTCCCATTCATGTAAACAACTTGTTGAGCTGAAATTGTCTGCGGCACAATTACAGTTATGTGTTCAGCAGATGATTTTATCTTGCGACATAAACCAACAGTACTAGTAGAGTAGTAAATGAACAGCTCGCCACAAATTAGCAGGAAAAAAACATTACTGAATGCAGTCCTTCAGTGGTCACACTTTCTGTCCGCTTGTCTCACTCATTTGCCACCCCCTCTCTTTATTATCCATCTTTCCCACCCAGTCTCTCTTTCTCTCCTACGTCTTGATTTCTCCCTACAGTATGTCCGTGCTGGCGTGGGGCTACTTCAGCGAGTGTTGAGTCACCAGACATCAATTAACCCTGTTTACGCTCCTCAATTGGTTTCACCCCACTCATTTGACCAGTGGGATAAACCAAGCAGGGACCACTTATTATGAATGTCAGAGTCTTATTAGACATAATATTTGGCTGTGTATGGAGGACAGGCTTGGATCCATTGCTTATTCCGTGAACTCATTTTGAGTGAATTTGACGAAGGCTTTCATAAACCGTCATTATGGTCTTTTCAGGCTTTGTTGTCTTTAATTGATGGCACGAGCAGAATGGATGAGGTTTTCTACAGCAGATGGCATCAGTAATGTCTGACTAACAAAGACAGTGATCAATGATTGATCCTTTAAGCCTTATTTAATCAATAAGGTGAGAGACTGTGCTATATAGCGAATGGATGAAGATATGATGCATAGCTGTAATATACACAATGTATGCCTTGGGTGCTACTGCTCATTCCTGTCAGGGTTGTGCGTTCTGTGCATTCTACATTCCAAATAAATGCCTGCATTTGATTTGAGGGTAGCAAACAGGATGCAGAACTCCAATTCCAATTTGAATGTAAGGAAGTAGAATTAAAATGAATTGAAATTATTTAAACAGACAGACAGACAGACAAACAGATAGATAGATAGATTTCATTTCAGATTTCACAATCTCAAAATGTGTTGTATCTAATTCACTTAAAATTCCAACTCATGAGCTGAAAGGGAGTCAGTTTCGGAAGTTTAGAAATTTGCACGACCTTAGTTCCGGTCTAGACCCTTGACCATGTTTTTTTGAACACCATGCTCTTTAGTTTGAGTTACAGGAACACTAACCAGGCACAGTGAGATAAAGTGAAACATGATGCATTTCCATGTTAATCTGAGTTTCTGTCCAAACCAGAAAATTTCCACTCACCTGGTTTTGATTTCTGCGGAGTCATGCAGGGTTTGCATCCACAGCGAATCCTAAATCCTGCTTAAGTACATTGTGATTGGCTGATTTTATCATGTTGTGCTTAATTTTTACTCATAGTGTGGACGGACGCATTAGTTCCCCTTGAAAGCCTTCTGTTAGGACATGGTATTAGGGCCATTTACAATGCAAATTGATTTTTTAACCAATTCAAAATTACCCGAGGAGGAGTGTGTGACTTGTGCGGTTCACCCTTTGTTGTCATCCCCTATTGAAATAATCACAAATCTTCACACCTTATTGTTTATCAATACTGCCTCTCTGTAAATGGAGAAATGATTTCACGTGATAGACGAGACCGGGTGATAAATTACATTGGCATTGCCGTGAGCGCGTAGGATCTCTCTCTCGCTCTCCTTCAAATTGATTTTTCCTTCAGTGCACAATCCGTGACGAGGAAAGGACTCGATAGGATTAAAAATGGACATCCACTCAGAGCCCGTTTATCAAGCATTTGGCAGTGTTTTGTGTTAGTGCGGTGTGGGAGGCCAAAAGTGCGTGGGTGCGCAGTAGGCACAAATGCACGAGCGGAGTCTCTTGATTCATCAGTTATCTGCCGGCATGCGTTTTGCCATGCTGTCGGGTTGAATGAATAAATGCTGCACCACATGCTCCCGTGGCTGCGTTACTGAATAAAACAATCTGGCAATCTCCTTATTTAATGAGCAGTAAAATAGTCGCTTTCCCATCCCGGCATCCCCTCTATAGGATGCATGCACTCATTCTCTTACAAGCAGGAGAATGGAGAAGGAGTGGGTGGATTTTAGTGAACGGTGCTTGAATGGTTAACGCCACCCCTCCTCCCCCACCTCCTTCCTGTTTGCGCTCCGCTGCCTAGTCTCATACTATGGCATTTTACGTCAGAGTGCAGCTGCAGCCAATCAGGAGCTCCGGGCTGCCCCCTCTGCAGCTCAACTCCACCCCTCCTTCTGGCCACATATATAGCAGCGTTCATTCTGTCTGCTCGAGTGTTCAACGGGCTGCTGTGAACTCAAGAGACAGAGAGCCGTGGCACTGACAAACCCACAGACATTGTGAGTGGATCTTTACGTTTCCTTCCCTAAATTGCCTTTCCTCTCAGAGCGTCTCGCTCATACTGAGCACATCTTTATTGTTGTGTTCCCAGCATCCAGTCGCAAGATGGGATGCACCACGGGGCACTTCACTTGTCAACCGCAGACAACGGCGGCCCCAACCCTGGAAGGCCAGTCGCAAGAAGGAGCACCCAAAGTCCCAGAGGTGCTGTCATCCCTAGAGCGGCTCTCGCAAGCCACGGGAGGGATGGAGAAGTCTTGGTACCGCTGCATCTTTCCATTTGGGATAATCTCGCTGGTGATCGGAGTGGCTGGAACTGGAGTGACGTACACGTACAACGATCTCCCGCAGACCAAGGTGGTTTCTGTGATCCTGTTGATCGTGGGGCTGGTCCTGGTACTGATGGCGACCACTTGCTGGACCGTCCACAAGAAGAAGCGCAGGAAAAAGAATGAAGGAGGTTCCTTCAGCTCCGATCAGTGTCCCTTGTGAGAGAACACCCCCCAAAAAAACCGAGATCTCCGTCCGCTCAGGTATCCGTGGTGGACAAGTCGTGAAGGACAGGTCCTCTCTGAGAATCACGTGGAAAATATGGTGCAAGGCTGGCATGAGGGTTCACCAGAGTCACGCATGCAGTTTACCATTGCTCAGCAGGTGTCTGGTATCAAAACAAGCTTGGAGAGGGACACACACTCCTGCACACACACACACACACAAACAGGACACTTAACACTAGCTGCGAGCCTCTCGCAGAGCCTCTGCTGCCGTCAATGCCGCTGCCAGTCTCCTGCATTCCTGTGACGCCGAAGAAGTGGGCCAGCGGTGGCAACCGGACACCGCGGCGAAAGAGGAGTTCACGCCCGTAGCAATGTGCGAGCTTTTTTACGGAGTGGAACTTGATCCTGCGTCTGCTAGCTAGAACCGGCAGCTGCGAATCGGGATAGGAAGAAAGCACGGACAGGAGAGATCGAGAATGTGTCCGTCTGCATGTGTGTGTGTGCGTAATATGTGTGCTGGATGGACTAGAGAGACAAGACACCTGCTCGGCCTCTTTCGCTGTCAGCCCTCCGTCAGTTGTAGCCGCTAATGATTTAGAACAGGGGTGCAGCACCTGATATGAAGGACGCAAAGACCCGAGCTCGATTTCTTGGGAATTTTACACAGTGTACAGTGTGTTGAAGGAGTTTTGCATTGGATTGTGTGTGTGCGTGTGTGAGTGAGTGTATGTGATTCTATCTGGCAAATCCAGGACTCTTCAAGGACCTCATATAGTCGGTATTTGGAAAAACAACCGCAGAGGAATTTTATAACGGACACGGTTCAGAGAAAGGCAAGCAAACCAAAAGGCCTTTTGCTCTGAGACAGCCAGAAAAGAAAATTAATTTCCTGTCTGACAGATGAGCAGGATTACTAGGGAGGGGAGGAGGCACAAGGGTACACTAGAAGTCAAAAGTGTCAGTAAAGTTTTGTTCTTGTTTCAGTGCCTTGAGCAAGCGATAGGACTTATCATGGTACAGTAGCTATGTTTTACCCCTCCGTTTCTCTTTTCCTCTTCCAGTGCCAGCTTTAAAACTCAAACTCAGCTATTTTAGCACAGTCTCCTCGCCCCCAAAAACAACACACATGAATACGTCGTCGCTTTGACCTGGTCAGAGCCCACAAAGGCTGGAGCTTACATCCGTTTTCACAATGGGAATACTGCTTATTTACACTGCCTTGATCTGGGAAGCATTTGGCATGTTTTGTTATGGATACAGTGGGTGGGTAACAGATAATGAATTAAAGGGACAGGTCAGCTAAAAATGAAACTTCTGTCATCCTTGTGTCGTGCCAAGTCTGTATGACTTACTTTCTTCTGAGGAAGACAAAATAATGTATTTTGAAACTCGGTGGGGTCCAAAACAACTCTTTTGATGTTCTGTGCATGAAAAAAAAAAACACTGGCATTTTTCATAATATCTTCTTTTATGTTCCACAACAGAAAGGAAGTCATATCAATTTGAGGGTGAGGAAATGACAGAATTTTCCTGTTTGGGAAAGTTTGGCCTTCAGATGTTTTATAAATCCCGTTAACACTCAGAAAACTCTGTGTGAAGACTAAAATTCGGAGACGGGCAAAAATCCATACCAATTCAGAGGTTAATACCCTTACCCTTTCGCTAAAAGCTTATCGATCGAGATGTTTCCACCATGTTGAGGAGTGGATTTGAGAATCCTTGTGCACAAGAGAGAAAAAAAGAGACCGCATTAACAACTTTGAGTACTTAAGAAAGGCTGTTTTTGAAGCATTTAGCTGTTAGCAAATGTGCTAAGCTTGCATTGCTGGACTTGTTCGAGCCCTGAGGAAGACTGTATTGCTCTTTCATAGCTCAGGAGATTTCATTCTCAGTTGTGTCTCTGATGTTTCTCCTAAAATTACTTTAAAGAAATAAAAATGGACACAAGACATGCAGACAATGTTAAAATAAAACTAGCGCATAGAGCTATAAAACTAATCTGGATATCTGAAATAATTTGCTCTCACAAGAAAACATTTGTGTTCTTTTTGCAATCTCTAACTTTTGGTTGCTCATTTTGAGAAAACACGTGTGAAATTACTGGCTCTTTTTCTTCATTTGACCTCATTGCTGTCTGGGAGAAACATTTTAAGATATTAACGAGATATCATTTGTGATAAAATAGATGTAAGTTTGAGATTATGGTTTTTGTAACAAAAAACATGTTTCTGGAGTGAACGTGGGCGCATGGCATGCAACACGGCAGTCCTGCGCTTGGGGCACGTCCAGGTGGAATTGATTTCTAACAGTGATGTCTGACCACATGGCTATGGATAAATACAGTGCCTTTTTGTCGACTGATGTACATGCTGTAAAGCTGCCTGTGCCTCCTTTAGCATTTTTATTTGCTTCACGCCAGAATGTGGTTTTTGTCCCTTTACAGAAACAGATTGCCGCCTTGTGTTTTTCCACAGCGTGCTACGAAAAGCAGCGAAGGGAGGGCATCTAGAGTTTCAGACTGCATTTTTAAACACTATTCACAATGCTCTTAACAAACAACGCAGACTAGAATCAGGGATGAAGTTGATGTTTGAGTGGGAAAAGGGACCAGATGAGTTCATTTGGGATATCAGTGACCGACTCTAATGGGGCGTCTGATTGTATCATGGAAAGCCAGTAATCCAAGATAGCCGTTTACATGAGCAAATCAAGATCAGACGTTCAGATCTGAGTCATCAGGAAAACATGGTGCTGCTCCCCCCAAAACAAGAAACGCAATGTTTTTTTGCCTCATTTTTTCAGGAAAATTACCTAATCATCCTTAAAAAGTTAAATTGTGTGAGATTTAAAGATGTCTTTGCAAAGAATATATGTGACCCTGGACCACAAAAACAGTCATAAGGGTAAATTTTGCGAAATTGAGATTTATACATCATCTGAAAGCTGAATAAATAAGCTTTCCATTGATGTATGGTTTGTTAGGAATAGAACAATATTTGGCCGAGATACAACTATTTGAGAATCTGGAATCCGAGGGTGCAAAAAAATCTAAATATTGAGAAAATCGCCTTTAAAGTTGTCCAAATGAATTTCAATGCATATTACTAATCAACAATTAAGTTTTAATATATTTACAGTAGGAAATTTACAAAATATCTTTTGTAAGAAAAATCTATAATTTTGACCCATACAATGTATTTTTGGCTATTGCTACAAATATACCCCAGCGACTTAAAGGAACACTCCACTATTTTTGAAAATAGGCTCATTTTCCATCTCCCCTAGAGTTAAACAGTTGAGTTTTACCATTTTCAGAAAATGAAAAGCTGCGATTTTTACGCAGCGCCTGAAAATAGTCCCCAGCACGCTCCCTGTGCAAGCAGGTAGTAA